TTCTGCAGTTAATCGGGCAACAAACAAAAGTCCAAGGAGAGGTTGACATTATGCAGAAAAGGCTGTATATAGTACTCATTCCAGATGGATCTGTAACTCATTCAAAAGAACTATGAGCCAAGTTGGCTTCCAGAGAATTGTCTCACATATTCCTTTATGCATACCAAGAAAGATTTTTTTTCTGTATGTTTAGAATATGTCTCTATAATGATGGTATCAACCTGCAGCTCTTCCTTGTTGAATTTAGTGTCACCTTTTATATCCTAAGTTTTAAGTAAAGTTTCTGTAGAAGACACAGAAAATAGCCTTGAAGGACAGGAGGAAGAGTTGCTACCAAGGCAATGGACAGATAGCTTAACTGAGCCTGGGCCAAGAAACTCAGATAAGCCCCTGCTTAGTTCACATGAAGATAATGGGAGGGTGGGGGAAGTACTTGCATTCTTTGTAAGTGAAAAGGCTCACAAAATTTTATTCCTATAGCTGTTACAATAAAAGTGGTCCTGACCAATATAATAGATTTCTTAGTCTGGTTTACCTTGTTAGGCTGACGGTTCTTGTACTGAGGGAGAGGATCTTTTCTTTCTTTCTTTCTTTTTCTTTCTTTCTTTCTTTCTTTCTTTCTTTCTTTCTTTCTTTCTTTCTTTCTTCCCTTCTTCCTTCCTTCCTTCCTTCCTCCCTCCCTCCCTTCCTCCCTCCATTCATCCATCTTGATCCTCATTCATTAATAAAAAGAGACTTTTAGTTCAAACAAGACTCACTGCTTTTATTTGGGCTAAAGAGCCATTTTGAATATAAAAGGATAAAATATATATGCATATATATTTAGTACAAAAATCACAAACATATCATGGATTACACCCAACCATCTCTGACTCTCCTCCTTATTTTGGAAGATTTCTTTTGTTATAAATGGATTCTTGAAATTCTTCATTACCTTCATTACTACAGGGTTTGGTCTCTTCTTTATCTTAGCTGTCTAGACAGAAGCTAACATAAGTATGGGCTGAGACCATGTGATCTTGGAAAAGTGGGCAAAGAAGAATCATTGTGTGGGACAGACAACTGATCCAAGGATTGCGACAATGGTTGCCTACAAATTTAGGCTATCACAAAATAGGAAGTATCATTTGGGATGTTTTTTTTAAATTAAAAAATATAGGCAGAGTAAACCTGTATGTCCCTTGTAGGGGAGAAGAGAAAGATCTACTGCTTCTCCAACCCTCCATGGCCCTGTTAGTTCTCTGCAGGCAAAACTGGAAATGGGGACCGGTTCTTTCCACATTATTTCCTTTGGGTATAGAGAGTCATCTGGTTTGAAAACATGTCAATAGACCACACAGCTTTTGAGCAACCTAGTCATATCCAGCTCCAACTTTCCTCATTTCTTCCTGAAACTGTGAATGCAACACTTCCAGGAGAACATCTGGACCATAATAGCTTTCTACCTGCATTCCAGAGATCTGTGATGATGTAAACCATTATTCAGCCAAGCAATCTCTGTTTCTGCTACAGTGTGGTATTTACCCCACCTCTCAAAGCTGACCAAGGAGTAAGTATAAGATTGCTTGCTATAATTGCATAGTCTTAGAAATGTTCCTTGCTTGTACTGACTTCTGCCATAGCAGTAACCAGTAGAGACATTTCCTAAATAGTCACAAAAAGAGCTACCTTTACACAGGGATACACTTAGCTTTTAAAAAAAATAAAACTATGGGCTGGAGTTGCTCCTCCCCAAAAGAGGAAAGGCAAGGAATAATTTAAATAAATATGTGCTAATAAATAATTATGAAACAAAGGCACACAAAACAAAGAACACACAAGAGAAATCCAGCTTTACGTATACACTTATCCCCACAATGCTAAAACTTCTAACTAAAGACTTTAAAGTCCCACGAGTGAAAATTCCAATTCACATTTTATGTGAAATGAAAAAGACATAACTTAAAATCTGTATAAGTAATAAATAATGGGGTGGGGGGTGGGAAGAAACCATGGCTTATCTTGGCTGGCACCATTCTAAAATAAATTATGAAAATAATTCCTCTCATTTCCAGCCCATTTGGGGCTGCCTTTTATCAATCCCAGCTTGAAAGTTCTTCAAGTTAGGATGCATGAAATCAGTATCTGAAGGTTTCTTTCCTTTCCACAATTTTTGACAATTTTCCTGATGAGGAACTGCTATAGCACATGATGTTATATGGCACCTCTTCTGATATATTTATGTGGATGAGGAACCTGGGATCCTAGGCATTATTCAACATCCAACAGTTGTAGTCAATATGGACACTGATGAAGGCTTTGGAGAATTGTATTTCAGTGTTATATGAAGGGTGATATGCCCACTTCAAGCTAGAAGATAATTTGTTGAGTTTTTTAATCAAAAAGGAAAGCAGAACAATATTTTCCATATTATATTGGAAGTGAAACTCCAATTGCATTTTAGATCCAAGAGCCACCTGGAATTCATACATTGTTCGTAGATGACTTTGGTAACACATAAATGAAAAAAAAAACAAAGGAAACACCACCAGTATTGTTATTACTTAATGAGTGAGCCAATAATGGGAATGGGAGAAGATCTGGGTAATATTAATAACACTGAGGAACAGTATGGATCAAAATAGATTGCTTTGATTGTATGATTCCCTACCCTATTTGTTCTGTGGAACAATCCTTTATGGGAGAGCTGTACCCAAATGAATCTATTTGTCAACAGAAATAGGGGCAGAATTTTACTAAATTGCTCCAGGTATAATGGCAATTCCTCAAGAGCAGTGGAAGCTAAGTTAACCATCTGGCATCATTTTGGATCTTTCTCGGTGTGCTGGCTAGGATCTTCTTTAGCCAAAAGATATTATGAGTGAAACATGATGACTGACACTTTCAAAGTATCAAGAATATTTGAATTTTTTTAAAAAAGGTTATCTTCTTTTGGTGTAATTCTTAAGAAAAAAATTAGAAATTTTCCAGAATACAATGAAATAAAGTCTTCTGAGAACTTTGGGCTCAGGACTATTGTTTTAGTTCCCATGGCCAGAAGTATTGCTCCATGTTTCAATTTCTAAAAAAGGGATTCCACCTGCTATTTAATTTCCTGGAAACTCTCATGGGCTTGTCACTAATTTTTAATTAAAATTAAGATGGAGTCTCTTGTTATTGATATCACATGGAATTCACTGGATAAATAGAATCAAATTGTATTTTTAAACTTCTGGACTGAAAATAATGGAAATTTTAATTGGGATATGAGTATGGGAAAGATGACAACAGTATAATTGTAAAACAGGAGGTAATTCACATAACTAACCCTTTCAAACCAAATAAGGTTCTGGAAATGGGATCTCTCATATTCCAGGCAGTAGTTGGTATATGTACAGTATTCAAATGCATACAGCATATTATGCTTTGTATATAACTATACAAAAGACATGCCTGAAAATATGTTGAGTGTCCACAGCCATTTTTTTAGATGAATATGATTTGTCATACATAAACATCTCCAGAATAGCAGTCAGTGATAGACAGCTGTGTTTCTACACAATGGAACCCACTAGTTCAAGATGAGCATCCTTATATTTGTTTTCCTTCAAATACATGCAAATTATGAGCAGGATAGAAATGTCGCAAGTCAACCATTCTCTGGAGTGTAGCCAGAAAAGATTAAAAAGAAGAAAAAAGTGGACCTACACCTTGCTTGATTTAAGACTGGAGCAGTTTAGTTCTGTTTGGGGAGAGTTACATAGATCTTGGGAGTGATAAAGCTGGTTTGGCAAACATCGGTAGTTCCATTATTGCTATTATTCTGAAGTCCTGAGTTTAACAAGGACACATTATTACATATACAGTCATACATACATCCATTCCATTAATGGAACTGGAGCACGATTAGTTGAGCATTTCTCCTGGAAATGTCCCAGTTTTTTCTTGCTTTCAATATGTGAGATGATGCCTCTTGGCTGCACAACTGAGGGGAGTCATTTTCTTAATGAGATTCCTAGTTGCCAGTCTCTTACATCCAAAATTGTTCCCATATAAGAGAAGGTACTTAATGTATTGTCATAAAGAGTAAATGTGCCATCAATTCTTTTGGTGTGCTCAGATTGGGATGCTTTATACACTCTCAGTTTTCATCAAAGCCTTTTGGGAAGAAATCACAAAGCCCTCCTCCTGCCCCCCCCATTTTCATCATGGCTTGATTCTTTATAATCAGGAGATTGAATGTGGAGATTCATGGTGTTGTGGTTCAACAGGTGATGATGACTCCTCAAATATAGAACTGTGTAGCTGATGATCTAAACCTAGAATGCATTCCGGGTGAAGAAGCAGAGGGCTGTATCTGATCTTTGAATAATAAACTAGCATCACATTCCTAACGGGTAGAACAGGACAAAAATCTATACTGTCTCATAGGGTACCATCTTGTCCCTACGCTGTTCAGTATTTACATAGAACCATCAAGGAAGGTCATTCAGAATTCTGAAGGGGGGAAACTTATGTTACTTTTATCTGGTGACACTCAGGCACCTTTCTTGCTCTTTACCATTCAACTCTAAGGAAGTAACTGTTAACCTAGAACATTGCTTTAGTTCCAAAATGGACCGGAGCTGGAATTAAATCCTGATCAAAGGCAGAAGTACTGGTAGCAAATAGAATAGAAGATTTGAGGACATCACTGGCAATAACCAATCAGCATGATCAACTGCCCTGTTTACTGCAGAACTGCAAGGAGATTTGTGTGTGTGTTCAATTTGATTCTAAATTCCCAGTATTATAAGAATGTTACAAATGAAATAGTCATGTAAGAAGGATCATTGATGTTATGTCCCGAGCCTTGCAAACGGCTCGGGCGTTTGCAGGCAGTCCCGGGCAGGTGCAAAGCTGCCCGGGACCAGACAGGCTGTCGCCAGCGCCGTGCGCATGCGCGGGTGCTGGCGCGGGAAAAGTAACCCATTTACCCGGGAGTTGCCTATATAAGAGGCTGCGAGGCGTTTGGGCGAGGCTGAAGCCATCTTCCTGTAAGCTGAACGCTGAATAAATGAAACTGAGAACTCCAGCTGCTTCTCGTGTCTGTTTTCCCGCCACGGACTCAACAATTGAGATGATAGATTTAAAAGCCCATAAATTAGAGCTACTAAAATATGTCTAAGTTCACAGTGGTGTAGACATGCTTTGCTTCCTTTCCCCCAAGGGTTTCCCATGAAATCAGAGGGGAATATCTGAATAAGTAAAATTCCTTCTTTTTATGTACCAACATTTGGTATAAGATGCTACCAATATTTTTTTTAAAAAATGTTTAAAAGTCCATTTAAAAACCATTTGCCTGTTATCTTCCTGACTTATTCACCAAATATTGCACTGAGCTGTGCTCCAACCACATGGTGAGAATAAGAATCATAGGTCACATCTAATGGGAGGTCATATTTGGGCACTGTGGTTGAAAAATGGGAGGTGTGACTGTGAGCATTGCTCAGGCTAACAGATGGATAATGGGCCATAAAACTGTATGATTTTTCTAGGTCTGGAGACCCATCTTGCTTTAAGGAAAAATTTCCACTGATGCTCAGAGGAGGTGTCAAGGGACCTTCATATGCTGGAGATGTACAGTCTTGGTGATGATTGCCAAAGGAAGTATCCACCAAAGTTTTGAAAGAGGGAGGCTTTAAATGTACATGGTGTGTCTCCATGCTTCCATAGGGCGGACTGGGCAATCCTGGAGACTGGTAAGAAAAACCATGACTGGACACAGTTGAATCAGAAACAGGGATTTTCTCCTCATGTTTCTCCAGGAACAGGGATTGTGGTCCTACCTGGAGACAACCAGCAACTAGATTGCTGGTTGGTTGGGACAAACCTTTGCATAGCATATCCACAAAACCTTTGCCTTCTAAAGTCTGCCCACTTTCCAGAACCTCTGACAAAGCCCAAATATAGTTCCTGGCTAGCCTCAGCGTCTCAATTTTGGACAGCTTCTGTGTTTTAGAATAGCAGGGCATCACCCGCCTCAAGTTATCAAGAGCATCATTAAGTCCATGCATCCGTGTTCGTTCCCGAGCATTAGCTTTCACTCGGCGGGCCCTGAATCGCTCCAGCCTTGCTTTGGTCATTTTCTTCTTCTTTGGCCCCCTTCTCTTGGGTTTCCCGTTATCTTCTTCCTCTTCTTCCTCAACACTGTCATTCTCATCATTAATGCCAGAAAGCATCTCATAGGCCACTTGCCGGCTGTCTTTGTCCTTGGTTTCATTTTGGGTACTCAATGCTTCATTGATCCAGGATTGAGGAGATATGAGTTCGGCCATCTCTTTGGACTTGGGGTAGAGTTTGGCCATCTCTTTACCCTGAAAAAAAAATAACCATACAATCCATATTAATTCAGTGAGACACAGTTCTAAAATCTTAAAGAAATAGAATAGGAAGTATAAATATTATTCTTTGTTATAACACATTTAGTACATTATATAATTCACCTAAGCAGGGTTTTATTTTGAAGGCAAGTCCGTTCCTCAGAATTACAACTCATAGAATAATAGGTCCAGCCATAACCAGAGGCCTGCATAGCTTAGCAATGTGCAATTCTAATGTAGCCCAGCAGCTGCATGATGTTGCCTAAAAACGCAATGGCCTCTTTGCTCTTGTTTTTGCATTTTTTTTTAGCAGCAATAGTTGGCGAATGATGACTATAATCTGGTATGCTACTAGAGACAATGAGGGTGGTGACTGTGACAAAAATGTGCCAGAATATTGCCTAGGCAAATGTGTGTGTGTGTGTGTGTGTGTGTGAGAGAGAGAGAGAGAGAGAGAGAGAGAGAGAGAGAGGCATTTTTAAAGATCCTGGTTAACAAGCTAATATTCAGAAGTGATTCAGACAAATGCCTCCCTAATTCATGGGAGAGTAGAAGAAGGAGAGGAAGTATAATACAATCAGAGTTGTAAGGTCCTGTTATTATATCCAGTCTCCACAAAGTGTATTCTGGTCTTCCTGTGGAGTTATTTTTCTGGCCTGGTATTCCTAGTGGAGCTGACAGGCACTATGTCCATGTTTGGTTTGGGGATCACAAACGGTTCTGTAATCAAGTCTTTTCTTTAGACATCAGAACTTAGAGAACAGTCTTCTATTAAGCCAAATCATTGATCTATCTATCACTGTATATTTAGCAATGTCTGACAATGATTTCTCTGGGTTTGAGGCAACTGTTTTGCCTTCCCAATTTTTGGCTGAGGGATTGAATCTGCAACCTTATGCATGTGGGACATATTTTTTTTCAGGAGAAATCCTGAAGTTGAGAAATTCATTACTTGCCTACAATCTGATCTTAATTTCTACAAAGGGAAATCCACAGCCAAGCTAACATCTATTTTAATTATGCTTAAAATAAAAGCAGAAATAATTGTGCAGGGAAGCTGGCCAGTCTGATGCAGGACTTCTAAGGGTTTCACATAACTTCAGTAAATGGGATAGCAGGCTGGAGTACAACAGCATCGATAATTAAATTATAATGAAACTATATCTGAAATTAAAAAAAAATCTTTCTGGGAAAAAAAGGATCTTCTTTTAGACAATTGTATATAAACATTTTGAGAGAGTTCTAGGAAAATCTAGCGAAAAGGATTGCCATGTTTCAGCTAAAATTAGCCATAATTAAAGTAAATTAAAGCCACTTGCACAAATTAATTGGGATTTATGTGAATTCTGCCTCAATGTTCAGGGAACAGAGTATTGCTGGATTAGTGGTCAGTATGACACAGTTAGATAATCAAAAGCAGGCATAAAAATGTCAGCTTTTGGTTTGATATGAAAATTCAGATGTTTGCCTTTTGTTATCAACAAAAAGGCTCTTCAGCAAAATTCAGTCACAAGAGTGTTTTTAGGGGTCTGGTTAACAGCAGTGCCTTTTCCCATAATACCCCATTACAGTTTCCCCATCCCTGCCCTGGTTTTCTGCCTCCCCCTAAACTTGACTTAAGCTTCCATGCCTTCTGACATATTTAGTCCTGGTTGAGTTGTGGTTTCTACTGTTATTTTTTGTTTTTTCTTTTACTTTTTTTATCAGTCTTAGGGTTCTCTTAAGCTTGCCGATGTCTTCCTCTTATGCATGAATAGCACCTTTTGGTTACCTAAACATTTACATCTAGAAAAAGAAGTGCAGCTATTTCAGTATAGGAAGGATTTGGAACTGGAGAAAATTGGACATTTTAGGGAACGGCTTCACTTCCGTTTTTTTCTCTTTGCAGATCTGCTTTTAAAACCTTTTAAATGGGCAGCTTCTAATTTTCAAACAAGAATCACATTTCAATCTCTATGGAGATGAAAGAAATGGCTAAAAATGCTTATCTGGCCCATGATTTGATGCAAGTTCCTTGAAAACCTAAGCGTTTTTCCTGGTAACCTCATTTACCTTTGATGAATAATGATTTCCACAGTAACTATGTGGGGGTGGAGGGGAGGAAGCAGCCCAGGTTTCCTGATAATCAACTTCTTGTCGGCTTGATGTCCTCGTTTAATAAAGCTTAAGGTATAAGCAGCTTTGTTGAAAATGTGCCACCCAACTAATCGGTCGATTGGTCATCGCCACATCCAATGTAGCAAATCCCACTTTTAATATGCCTGATGGGACTTGGATGATAGATTAGAGAGAGAATTAATATACAACTGGCATTACGCAAATCCTAATTATGTATTAGTTAAACATCCTGAAAGAAGGCAATGGTAAACCACTTCTGTACTGTTGCCAGGAAAACTCCATGGATGCAGTTAACAGAGCGTGAGTGTGTCTTTACCTTATTGAAGTAATCAGAATGCAATACTTTAGCTTTCCCTTAAAATACATGGGGTACCTGATACCCTGACTCTATGCAATCTCTGGCAGGATAGTCTATTCTCTCAGTGGGAGGATTATTGGAAAGAAAAAAAAAACAGAGATTTGGATCGTGGACTGTTTAAACCACCTCACTGGGTTTTCACTGAGGATCAAACGGGATAAAGGGTTCATTCCTCTAGGTTTCCTAGAAGAAATAATGGATAAAAGTATTAACTTTGACTGCTGTGTTACTGGCTTTAATTAAAACTCTGTCCTTGGATAAGGCTAAGGGGCTGATTATTTAGATTAGACTGATTTTATAAAGGTATAGGATAAACCTGCCCTTCTGCAATACATCTGAAGAATGTCTGATCTAGCAATCCAAATACCCAATAAACCTCTTGTGTTTTGCTGTTTTTCTGCTACGACCAGGATGACTGGACATAACTGATATGCTTGAGATGTCTGCTGTTATGCTTGGGGTGTCTTGTGTTATATCAGTTATACAACTTTGCAGAGCAAGGCAACAGATCACGTTTGACCAGAGTTCAGATTTACCTCCAGAAACTTGCACCAAGGCTATAAAGCACTATCCCAAAGATATCAGACCAAGATGGGCTATGTGGTATAATGGTGATGTTGATCTAGAATCAATAAACCTAGTTCCCACTCTTCCTTCACCCCAAGAGACTTTGGCCAAGTTACTCTCTCTCTCAGCCCAGTGAATTTCACCCATTTGTTGAGATCAAAAGAAGAGAGATCCTCATGTAAACTGGCTTAAACTCTGGGAGGAAAGATAGGTGAAAATTCTAGCTAACTAATTGCCAAACTTGTTACATCTGGTATTTGAAAGAGTATGGGGAAAAAAAGAGTCCTGGAAGGATTCTCCTACCATAATTGCCATATTTATCTTGTAGTAGGCCTGAATACCCTGCCTCATTAAATGGCTTGGATGATGCAATCTGGCACATGGAGGTGATTTGATATTGCTTTGGAAACTTTCTCCAGAACATCTCCCAACATCTCTTGGAATCTCTAAAAGAGATTTCTATGCAGGGACATCAGATGGAAAGGCCAGAAGAAGTAAGCGATGATGCAGTTGGCAATGCAACTCCATTGAAGATGGTTGAGGAATGTTGCCATGCAAAACAATTCAGAAGGATGCTTTACAGGAATTTCTCAACTTACATCCATTCATTTAGTGACTGTTCAAAGTTACAACGGCACTGGAAAAAGTGACTTATGACTGTTTTTCACATTGTAGCATCCCCATGGTCACATGTTCAGAATTCAGATGCTAGGCAACTGGTTCATATTTATGATGGTTGCAGTATCCTGAGATCAGGAGATCAGCTTTTGCAACCTTCTGACAAGAAAAGTCAATGGTGAAGTCAGATTCACTTAACAACCAGGTTATTAACTTAGCCAATACAGTGATTCACTTAACAATTGTTGCAAGAAAAGTCCTGAAATGGGGCAAACTCATTTAACAATTGTTACACTTAGCAACATAAATTTTGGGCTCAACTATGGTCTTTGTCCAGTGCTGTTTTTTTTTTTAGCATCTATATTTTATAATAGGGCTTCATTTAGTCCTTTCCCATCCTGCTTTTTGTCGGCATTTATTTTATTTCTGTTCATTGCCTTGTGCTTAATGGGATGACAGGATGAATTAACTGGATATTCCTGCATGTCCACTTTAATTTAGTGCAATCCCATCATTTCCACATAATGAATGAATTCTAGTTTGACTAAAGGTTTTCAATAAATCTGAGATGTAGGGCATAATTCAAATGCATTGTGAGAATGAGGATTGAGCAGAATTTTAGCTTTGACTATAGCTGCAAATTTATATACAACAACAGTAACTGCTGCAGTCTATGTCAACAGGATATTCTTGATTATGTACTACCAAAATGACATTAGTAAGCAAGAAAAACAACTTGTTGGAACCCAATGCCCCACATGTACAAAGCCAATACAGAAATAAACCTCTGTTTGGTTATCAATGACAGACATTCACAGATACAGAAATTTTATTATACACATTAGAAAACTAGAACATTACATTACTTTTCAACATAATCGCCATTCAAATTGAGGCACTTTCTTAATGTCTTACAAGGTTTGAAATTCCTTAGTAGTAGTTGCTCAGCGCTATAGGTGGGGTGATCAAAAACATCCCAATGGAACTGCTTCATTGATAACCAAACAGAGGTTTATTTCCGATTTGCCCTCGTATATGCTAATTAGAACTCCCAAATTCTCAGCGCATCTGGAGAGGGCCACATAAAGAAAGCTGAAGGAAAAAAGCCATTGCTCTCTTCCATCACTACAAACTAAGGAACATCCCCAGATCTGCATTTTGCTGGGAAAAGCAACCGCTGAAAATGCAAAAGAAGCAGCTCTAAGATAAATTCTCCTTTTCTGTCTCAAACCTCTCAATATGTTAGATAAGATAAGATAGATAAGATAACCTTTATTGTCAATTTTACTGTGAGCATACTGGCCCACATTAAAAATGAAATTCTGTTGCCTGC